GGCGGCGGGAATCTAATGGGCACAGGCAGCCCATACCTCACAAAGACAGGCTGAGTCCAGATATTGCTAAATCTCTCTGGAACATCCCAAACCTGTATTCACGATTAAGCTTTCTCTGGAGGATTATTACTCATCTTCTTTTAATGATAACTCGCACAATCGTGAACCGAATTTTCCATATGTGGTGTTTTAACGGTCATTCATACACAACATAGTTTGAAGCACACATCGGAATGTTCGCTGCCAAATTCCAAGAGCGAATTTTACCTTCTAATACCCGACTTCCATTTCAGTTTGTTCCACACGCCTCCGAATTCTTTTGTGATGGAAAGTTTAAGTGAACAACGTGCAGCTGTGAAATTTTGTTTTTTTTTTACTTGGAAAAATATTGCTGAAACTGTTAATGTTGATGATTGATTACAAAGATGATGCAACGGGAAAAATTCAAGTGTATGGTTGGTTCGCTCGTTTTAAAAATGGCGCACCCTACTCACAAAACGCACCCAAAAAACGCACCCTACTCGCCTGATTCGGCTCTGTGCGACTTTTTCTTGTTCGCGCGTATGAAAAACGGCATGAAAGGACAACGGTTTGACAACGTTGAAGAGGTCAAGAAAAATTGAAGAAGGAGCTATCAGCTATTACTAAAGATGACTTCAAAAGATGTTTCGAACAGTGGAAGCACCGCTGGGACAAATGTATTAGAGTCAATGGAGAGTACTTTGAAGGAGATAAGGTGGAATTGTAGGAAATGTGCAAATATACAGCTTTTAAAATATAATTCCTGTCATTTTTTGGTACCCCCTCGTATATACACTTTGCATTTTAATTCGTTCTTTTGGTCCCTTAAACAACTAAAATATTGTTACGCTGTGTATTCATTTGAAGTTCAATTCGAAAGAACGTCATTGTGCATGGGAGTGTATCGCCAAATAATATACTCACAGATTGTACGAAACAAACGACGAAGAATATTAGAATCAACGGTACAGCAAATGTTTTCGAATGTCACGGAAGTAGTCGAGTTCTATCAATTGACAGTTGATTAAACAGAACGTCCAATATTCATGCGATTAAGCGTGTTTTATCGGCGCGCTCGTTTATTGAACAGAACACATAGGGGGGTATAACAAATAATTACATTACGAGCAACACGTAAGACCACATAACACTGCGATTATCGCGAAAGCCTCGCTCCATCAGGTAGCGTGAATGACCAAGGTCATTTCCGACGCCAACCTAGCTCAATGGATTCGCTCTGTGATACATCACGTGCGTGTGCATGGACGCTCTAGTGATAACCGCCTGCGAGGTGGTTCGAGGAGACGAGAGAAGGGTGCGGTCTCAAGAGATAGTAGTCTTTGGTGACACTCAAATATAAAACTTGACGAATGTATAGTACGTTAACGATATTATTAAGTAATTGCTAATTATTTTCAATAATCAACCAGCGGTGCTACAGCTTAGCGCAGACGGTTTCGTATTACTTGTAACGGTATCAAAAACTATAATAATTATAATGCAATAATTGCGTATCAATGATTGCACATTAATTACTGATACAACTAATATTTCAGCCATTTCTTGCAAAACTACAAAATGTGCCCTACGCACAGTTTAGACAATAGTGTTCACAGATGACTGACTGATGTACGAGCAGTCGAGCCAGTCGCTTAAAAGGTAGGCCGATGAGACAAATTTTTTTGAGAAATAAAAACACTCTCAACGCAATTGCCTCCGAATCTGTATCTCCGGGAAAATCTCTATATGTATTTTTTTGCAGCATTACATAACATTGGTAGGCTACAAATCAAGAACTGGTCACAGTCTGATGCAGTCAAAGAGCTTTTGTTTATGGACAATCACCAGTACACAGTGGTTTTCCTAGTAATCTCTTCACTGACGCAGTTTCAAAAATACGAGGTTTAGGGCAGAAGTCATGGCAACAATTTCTTTTTTCTAAAATAAATATTATCGGACCACATAATTTTATTTGTCGCGTAAAGGAAATGCAGTACTAGTTTGTTTTCACAACATCAGATGGTTCTTCGCGTGTATCTATTAGCACAGAGTGTAATGTAAAATTCGTTTCCGGATTACCGCCGAGCGAGATAAACGAAACCCTTTCGAGCAACGCTCCTACATAAAAATAGCTGTTCCCTGTTGACGAAATGCGGTAGAATGTCGCGGGAAATCGGTGGAAGAAGTTGGGAATGCCCTTCCATACCGGACAGGCGCGAGATAGCCAGGTGGGTTTCAGGGAGGTCGCAGATATCAGCAACGCACATCACCTGTGAGAGCGGCGGACAGATGTAGCGGACAGGCAGTAATCGAGCACCTGCCGGAAGCAGGCAGGCGACGAACGCTACTGAAATCAATGACCGAAAGTGGCCTCGAGAAACGTGCACTCGCAAGTCATTCCGTGCGTTGCCGATCACAGATCCTCGCCGAAACTCACCTGGCTATCTCGCGACTGTCCGACATGGAACGGCAATTATCCCAACTGCTTCCATCAATTTCATATGACATTCTAGGATATTTCTTCCACGGAAAACGGCTGCCCAGATGTAGGAGCGTTTGAAACGATTACATTCATCCCGCACGGCAATTCTCACATTACTCTCTGTATTAATAGGCTCACTCAAACAACCATATTTTGTTGTGAACGAACACTAGTACTGCATTACTTTCATGCGACAAATAAAATGATGTGATCTGATAATATTTCCTTTAAAAAAAATAGCTGACATGACTTCTGCTCCAATCCTCGTATCTGTAACTATGTTGCGGTAAAACGTCGCATCACATAGCCGGAAGAATCAATTTATTGGTTTTCCCCATCGAACGGCCCCTTCACTATATCAAGTAGCATGGCTGGGAAGCCCCCCACCCCTACTCGCCTAGTGAGCCCACAGTCATCGCTGCGCGTCATGGGTGTCTATTTACCAGAAGTCCGGGATTGAAATCTGGTTAGTGACAAATCACATGAGGTTGTGGTTTGAACCGTATGCGTGTACGCCACCCCTACAAGACGCGCTGATTCGAAACCCACGAATCAGCTGCAAGGGTTCGCGTGGAGGTGTGGAAAGAAAGAGAATTTAGATACGAACTTACGCCGGATAGATCACAGTCTTGTCTTCGGGATTCGCCGCCCATCGGACACTATTGCCGGGGGCATACCGACTGCCATTTCACCCTTAAGAAGGGTGCAGAATGGTGGCCGAAACGTTGGCACCCGTGCCTAGGACGCCGTGTGTCCCGGGTAGCCAAGTATCCAAGCAAAGGTTTTCTTTCTGGTCCGTAAAACTGCTGAGTAGTCGTCCAATCTGATCAAAGGACATCGAAGTCTCTCGACTCGGGCGGTAGCGGTATAATATACAGAACGCACAAAACAATTTCATTATTTCGCAAGTAAATGTATCTTTTGATGACGGCAAAATCTGAATCCGGAGGCTTCGTTGCTTGAAGAAAATACCGTTCACTACACCAATACGTGGTGGACACGAAGAAAAGAATAAAAGATGTAGGAGGTGTCTAGAAGGAAAGTTGCGAAAACAAGAACGGAAGGAACATTATCGTAGGATAAATTGAAACGCGCCAAAAAGATAACTTCGTAAAAACCCGCCGAGTGATTTATGGGCGTGCCGAGGAAGGTAAACGATTTTGTAGAAGCACTCTTTCCTTTTCTGCACATCGGATCAAAACTTAAACGATGCCCAGACACGAGGAAGCAAAATTCTGTTGCGAATTTAAAAGAAACAGCAACAACGAGCTATTGTAGTCTTTTCTCAGGAAAAAAACTTTTCAGGGCAATTTATTTGAACGTCTTTGACCGGTGGATACTAAAAGCAATAATAAATGGATCACTTTTGCATCTAAGTGAATAACACTGTCATTTACTTGCTATTATTTTTTACTTTTTCTTCCTAAATTGTAATACAGGGAGGTGAAGTATTGAAAACCACTCAACAATACGACTTCAAACCTTTTGGCTGTAAAAACTGTTTTTAAAGTTCTTTTAAACTCCAACCAATGTTGTAATGCCTGACACACGTAAAATATCATAAAAAATCATGTAAATCTGTGTGCTAAGAATTTTAACGAAAATATAATATATTTTGACGCGTGGGTCACTTTATTGTTTTGATAGCTTTTATTGATTCAATGACCTTAATGACAGAATAACAGGTACAATATTTTATTTAAATTTATGTAATACAACAATGGATTTATCGTATATTTAATTAGCATTCTCAATGCTTTGCTGTTAACGGTCTACGATTTAATGAAGCATCATAAGATGATCTTTTCTGTTTGACCTAGACATCGTGATTAAGAACTCTCATTAATAGATCAATGGTAAATGAAACGAAGTTGAATTTGAAAACTCCAACAATCTATTGTGACTTATTAAACAAAAAATTGAATTAAGTTAATGGCGTTCTGAGAAACGATTGCACTCGAATCTAATGTGCACTACGATTTTGAGTATACAACATTTGGTGAGAAAAGGTGCGCATTAAATTCACGTAAATGTGGCATATATATATATATATATATATATATATATATATATATATATATATATATATATTGATAAATATAAAACATTTGAATTACATTTGCAGAAACATATTCAACTCTATACTCAAATTCAATAGTGACTATGTTTCAAAATTTCTAAATATCCCTTATTTAGTCTTCTTCTTAATAAGTCTTCGAGAATTAATGCTGAAGAACACGAAACATGATTTTGGAGTTTGGAGTTTCGAGTTTCCTTCTAGTAAATACGTAGAACTGTTCTAATTTTTCCGCAGCTCTTCGTTTAGTTTGCTGTGATCGCAAAGGTAGAGCTAGTTCAAATTCACTTTCTAATCTGTTCAATATTAAATCCAGATGATATTGAAGTGGCATGATTTGTTGGGCTCGATGTAGAATTTTGAAGAAAGCTAATCTATAAAACGTTAATAATCCTAAAATTACTTTCAGGTTTATTAAAAATGAAGTATGGAAGTTATACAAAAAAGGTTGGTAAAGTCAAAATTTTCTGCGTACGCATACTCAAAAGGTAACACAATAGAGTCCTGCAAGAGACTACATCGCTGGAGCGCCATGTCAGTTTACATAAACTGCGCTAGGTGGCAGCGCAGTATGAAACATTGTCACTCGCCTTTGCGTGGCGATTGGAATGAGCTCGGCCAAGAAAGTCGAGCGTCTATCGCTCAATCCTTGAGACTCCGGCAGTTGAGTAAATATTTTAAGTATAAAACACAAAATTAAAGATGCAGCGGAGTTGAAACGTCTAAACAAGAAGTACAAAAGATGTGAAAAAGTGCCAATGAAAAGTAGTTTTTATCTTAGCTAATGGGAATAGCGAATGAAAGAACAAAGTGCAGCATATGAACCTTAATTTATTATATACGAGTAATATTGATTTGGAAATAATTATGGACATTATTTTCATCCACAAATTGCGGGAAAATACATATAAAATTAATGAATTAATTAAATTTCCGTACTCATCAAGTTCGCTTACAGTGGAAATGTAGACAAAATAAATATAGTACTACAATATCCGTGCGAGAACTCTCGCATGTTAAATCCCACCCACTTCACTACGCACTACCTTAAATATTTTCCTGCGCTTGGTTTTAGGCGGTGTCAATATATAAAAATGCAGAAATAAATTAACCATATATTACAAATTGTAGAATATTAGTAATTTACTTAGTTTATTAGTTTTTGGGTTATTTATCATCTGTATAATGTACTATAAATAACCGATAAACTAGTTGAAATCTGAATACAGATGGAAATAAGCGTTTTTCTCAAGAATTTATATTATTCACCAAGCAAAAGCACATAGTTTTGACAACGCTTCGCTGGCAACTGTGCAGTGCGTTGCTCGTTTCTTGGCTGAATTGAATGTTTTCAAGTGATAGCTAAGACGTGCAATATTTCAATATTACGAAGATGTATCCAATAATGCGAGAATGTATGTGCTGTTGCAGCACCACTAGGTATTGATTAAAAGTATCATTAATGGTGAACACGATTTTTCGATATTTATTGTGTGGAAATTCCTTTCTGTGTTTTTTTCTTTTCATTTTTAGTCCATTTAATAGGCTTGTATTACTAACTGTGATGAGTGTTTTGAATGCTAAATTTATTTTTACTTGCGCTGACATTAAAATTTGAAAGTAATTAAGTGATATGAAAATGTTGGTTTCCCAGCTTCTCGACGTGAAAGAGTCCATACGATATTTTTCAAGGTCGTTAAATGTCTTAGGAAGAGGGTACTCTAGGGGTACTCGAGGGATATAATGAAGGAATACATCATGTCGAAATCTCTTGTTATTTCGGATTATTGGAAAACTTATGACGGTTCTTCGTATTTGGGGGTTAATCATTCGTTTACGTTCATGGGCCCATTGAGTAGCGCCAATGCTAATTCTGTTGAAGGGACATGGAGTGCAATTAAGTAGGCAATTCCACGCCACAAAGTTGAAACGAATTTTGATAGCTACGTCCCTGAATTACGTGTCTTGGAAAGTGCAGAAAGAAGTTGTTAATATTCATTCTCGTCATCTAGAAAGGATTTAAAAAATTTATAATTTCAACGAAAAACGTGAGTTGATTTTCTTCTTCTTTCTATTAAAGTAATGATACTTTTACATATTTAGTAGTATTTATTTAAAAAATAGACAAGTTGATTATTTTTGTATCAAAATCGGGATTTGTAGGATGATAACCTCCAAAAATTAAAAGTTATAAATAGCATACGTTTATGAAATATATTTTTTAAATTGTTTTTGTGTTAACATTTTGAATTGTGCTAGATGCGTCTAATAAAGATATAAAGAATAATTCAATTCGTGCAGTCGATTCCTCTCTAATGAACATAATCAGTGATTCAAAGGAAGCGTGCCCCCCTAAACAGAAGATTTTCCCCAGTTTTAATGGCAAATTTTTGAAAATTAATTGCAGATTAAAATATTGCTACACAGTAAAATATCCACTTTTTTGCGTACTCCATTATCCAAAATATTGCTATTCAGCAATTACATAAACTCTTAGAAATCAATTTTACGAGTGGTTGTTGTGAAGTGAAGATAGTTCTGGAAAACTTTCGTGAGAGTAAGAATTTACTATCGAAGTTCTCCAACAGAGAATTACTTCAGCAAGGAAAAAGTAAAACAAAATGTTTAAATTCCAGCATTTTGGATGTTAATATTTTATTGACAAGAAAAAATAGAAAATAGTTTAGATGTTATTTTATGTGATAACATCGAGAATCGCCGAATTGACAAAATGTAATAGAATGTCCAAAAATATATCATTATGTAGAATTTGGAATGAGGAACGTTTCTTTGAAGCCTTTGGCCCCAAGACGTAAGGGATTAAGGTCCTAGAATGCTTCGTTTAGATGTAATGAACTACAAATGCTGCCAGAGTGTTGCGGGTTACATTTGCCATTAATATTTAGATGCGTTTTTTTTTGTAAAATATCCTTCATATTTATAAAGACAAAGTGCAATTTGTCACTCTTCGTAAAATTATCTTACTTTAGAGACCCTACTTATAAAGATTGGTTGCGTGTGAAAGCAGCAAAAGATATCTATACTAATGAATTAATATAGATGATTTGCTTGAAAAAAATCCTCATGTATTTTGCGTGTATAGTTGTGCAAAACTACAGTACCTGACAAGCCCCCCATTCCATTTTCAAGAGGTGAAGGGAAGCCGTCAGGGCTATTGCACTGGCTTGTGAATCAGCCCATCGCCAACAAACGCAGAACGCTCAAACTTACGACGCTCGAGCGAGTACGAGACAGCAAATGGAACGCCTTCATCACTGCGATATTCAGGCTATCCAGCCTGGAAAAAAATATCATAACAGGCAAAACCTACTTACTCTGGCACATCACAACAAGCACGGAATTCGGGCAAGGTAACAGAATTCGGACAGTAGGACATTTTCATTCGAAAATCGAATTATGAAAACCTGGAATAGTTTGCTTGCGCCAATATTTGACCACTGTCCCCAAAACGTTAGTGAATTCAAATATAGATTAGTTTGTGATTGGCGAATGAATTTCATTTCTGTACATTACTAATATATCTAAATCCTAAAACTAATGAATATTTACACGATTATCCTCGTTGTGTTGTAATTTGAATTATTGCTGTAATTTATGAGCAGTTTTGTGAAGTGAAGTAATCGTATATGTAAGAAAGCTGTTATAGTTCAGTGGAGAGAGGCGAAGTTGCCCTGAAGACAGGTGCGGTGAAATTATAAGTCCAGTCCAAATTATACGTACAGATGAAGTCCTTGAATTATAGACCAATGTACACTCTACAAACGTAAAATTAATAAATTCCGCCAATACTTAATTGCACAATTAGTAATAAATCTGATTTAATGTAACGTAATCTATCAGAGCACTTCTCCCGCCGCGCAGAGGTCACGTCTTCCTTGCGCTTGCGTCAGCTGGGCCCATCACGCCATGGCTGCAGCTGCAAGGCCACTCACGATGCTTGTTACCCGAACGCAAAACGACAGCATCCGGAACTTATCATTGGCCTGAGGCGAGACCAAGACCGCTGTCTCCGTGCAAGCGACACTGATGTCACTCTCTAAAGCGAGAGATCACTCGGGGTCTGGCACGCGTCAAAACCACATGAACGGGTTGACAGACAGAAAGATCGAAACGCGTACAACACACAAAATGGGAGTCAGTTTTACAAATACAAAATTGTGAGTGATGTATTGATATTTGTCAAACGGATGAAGGAGGAGTTAGCAAACTCGCATGAACGATGGACTGATCAATGAAGAGTAGCTCTTTGAAACGTCAGGCTCCAAAGACTTTCCAATTTGACCGAGAGTTGGGGGCAGCAAAAGTTCAGTATAAAAATACAAATAAGCTAAAAGGACTATTTACGGAACTAAAGCGGACTAAAACGGAAAAAAGGGAAAATATCAATTGCAGAGAATGCTAGATAACGTTAAGAACGATATTGCAATCGAATTGAAGGGGGAAAAGAAATTATAGGACGGCCTCCGAACAGATGCTGTGAACAGTTTTGATCCAGAAGACGTCAAGGTGTCTAATTCATGCTGTCGATGACAATAGTGCAGAAAATTCAAGATTTACAGAGTTGTGAGGTCTCCGCAGGATCACCCAGTCCAATGCAGCTGCACGCCTATCCAAAGCAAGTTAACCATTGATCGCGGCCCGGTCTCGAGGACGCGGATTTCGCTAGCCGCCAGCCGCCGTTCGGCACCTCCCAGGGGCCGCACTGGGGTGCGCCGAGCCAGAGAGCGCCGATGGGAGAGAGACGGATTGCGAAGGGGGAATGGGGGGGGGGAGTCGGGCGGGCAACGTTGTTTTGATGTGACGTGACGCGAATGGCAGTGCGCTGAGGAGCCGCGCGGCGCTGCCTTCGAATTACCGCGCGGGGGGGGGGAGGGCGGCTGTGGTGGCGGGCCGCGGGGCCACAGGGGAAGTAGTTGGCGGGTTAGGTAGGGGTAGGAATGCGTGGCGCTCGGCGGCAGGGAACGGTAGAGGAACGGCTGGTGACGGCGGGGGTCGGGCGAGGTGGAGGGGAGGGCGGGTGGCGGCCGAGGGAGCGCAGGGGGAAAGCGGCGTGGGTGAGCGACGAGAGCGGCGAGGGAGGCGGTGAGTGAGGCGGAGGCAGGGGAAGAGACGGTGTCAGCGAGGGCATTGGAGGGCGGTGGAGAGGGCGGTGGAGAGGGCGGTGGGAGGGTGGGAGGGCGGTGGAGAGGGCGGTGGGAGAGGCGGTGCGAGAGAGGGCGGTGGGAGAGGCGCGGTGGAGAGGGGCGGTGAGAGGGCGGTGGAGAGCGGGGGCGGTGGAGAGGGCCGGGGGTGGAGGGTGGGGAGAAGGTGTGGGAGAGGCGGTGGAGAGGCGTTGGAGGGCCGGTGGAGAGGTGGTGGGGGAGGCGCGCGGGGGGACGGTGAGTGGGGCAGATGCCAGGGCAGAGCGGTTATCGGCCGAGGGCGGC